GACCACAAAAAAAGGCTACACTATCTTGGTCTTATACTTTCGATTTTTCCTTCGTATAGTTACGGTCATATGTCGACTTCGATGCATGTGAGTGTGTCTGTATCTGTATTTCTATGTGCATGTTTGTGTTCGCATATGCACGAAACCCGAAGTGATGGCTCAAAGTAATTAGGACAGCAAAAAGGAACGTCATGTTTTTGGCCATCAAGGTTTGATAACTCCGATCTCCCCCTTTCTACATACATTTTATAACCATCACTCCAATTGCGCAAAGTGTGTTTTCTTGACTCGTTAGCTTCAATTTTGTTGTGACGATGTTATCTCGCTCTGATGATGTCCGTCACATGACGTACGAAAGCCTAGCACCTTTTCACCGGAATCGAAGCAGATCAACCTCTGAAACAAAGACAGCATGAATGTTGCAGTAAAGCCAATCGACAGCTGGTCAAGAGGAATCCGTTGCTGGTCGTCTTCTGGTGGAACCGACCTTTGAATCTCTTCACCCAACCCTTTCACTCGAATAGAGGTTGTTTGCTATTATCATCGCAACATGGTCACATTGGTAGGAAGACTTAGAGCAACGCACCCAGTCCGGAGTCCATTGTATGCATCACAATTTCCAAAGTTGTACCGTCGACGTGGTACATTCACAGACGTTTCGCCGGCATCGTCATTGAGTCTCGTCATTCTCAGCGCAACACAATAACTCGTCAAACAGTCAAATGAAGCCGATCCTGTGAACAAACTTGTGCTAAACAATTGTGGTACCTCCCTTTCTGCTCTTGGATTTTCGCGTTTTCGGTATCATCCTATCATGCCTTCACTGTTACAATTGTTTACCGTGTTTATTTCGATATAGTTTGGTGTGTTCCTTTGAGCGACATGACACCTTCACATTCCAACTCTCGTTCTCACTCCCCCTTCATCCTGTACAGGGTTTGTTGATCATAGTCTGCTTTATTATTATTATACAGTCCTCTTTCCTAGTCTTATCCCAGGCTTTCTCTTGCTCCGTAAAATCCGTCTGCCCTACCCCTTGTTCACCTATTTCACTCGACTCCTGTCACCACATCTGTCCTACTCGAAGCGATATTCGCCTCTGGTACCACCGATCTACCGTCAGCCAACTAGCTCCGGTCCTCGCCGTCTCTATCCTGTTTCTATCTCTAATACCAAGTCTATGATTCCCATGCCCTAGTCTCTTGTGTGCCAACCCACAAATGTTGTGGTACAGCTTGTTTTGATTTGGTCAAAGGATCGGCTTCACTTGTCTCCTTGACGAGTTGTTGTGTTGTGCTGAGAATGACGAGACTCACTGACGATGCCGGCGAAACATTTGGGAATGTACCACGTCGACGGTTCAACTTTGGAAATGAAGATGAAGACAATGGACTCGGGACTGGGTGCGTTGCTCTAAGTCTTCCTACCAACCTGACCACACCATCTTGGTCTTCATACCTCTGATAATTGAGCTGAGGTTTGGGCTAAAATGAAGCCGTTGTGACCCTTTAAGTCCGTTCGATGTGCAGCTGTTGGGCTCCGGTTGAAGCGAGCAGATACCAAAAGAGGCTTGAGGAGAAAAGGGTCCATTGCGCAACCTCGCCGTGATCCGAAGTTGACTACCACTTCGGCCTAACCGGTACCAACCTGGGCCAGATGCCTCAGAATAATAGGCTCTTCTTGGATGTCCACATGTCAACAATGGAAGCGGACAGATGGTCCATACAGTTGTGTGAATTGGTGGCATACCATCAAGCCACAACGGCTCATATGCAGCCGATACGCGGTTTCGGTTCGTCTCCGTAAACGGCA